TAATTTAGATATCTTAGATTAATGAATTGAGTTAAATTAATTAGCAACCACTAAATAGGAAGACATAGGAAGAGCGAAGCGAAATCAAGACCTTAGAACTCTATTATTATTGTTATTTCCACTTATAGTTTTGATATTTAGTTACTTTTTTTTAAATCTTGAGTTCTAGCTTTAATAGTTAAATTAATTTGCTTTTCTTACTTCAATTACTTAATTAACTCGATTTTGATCGCCTAAATAAAATTTAGTCACGAACACTCACGATATTTAGTTTAATTTTAAAAAATTCAATCATTGTGTGGACGATATTCGACTTTTTAGTCATTTTATTACTTTTACGGTCCGTGCACTCGGAGAAGAAATTACGCAACATCAATAGTTATTCATATATCTTTTGATTGTCCAATTAGACGTTATCTTTAAGGAGCGCAAATTATGCGTAGAATAGTTTAAAAAAATATATATGGGCCCGTTTAGTTCGCTGATTCGAATTGAAATGTGATTTTATGTGAGAGCTTTTTACTGTAGCAAAAAAGTTAGATGTGATTGTTTGTGAGAGCTTTTTACTGTAGCAAAACTCGAATCAGCGAAATGAACAAGACATGGTGTGTAAAAGATGTGAATGGTACAATTCTCTAATAGTATTCTTCTTCATCGTAATTGTTGGGGTAAAATTTGTACCTCATACACATATGCAACCTTTTCTGAAGAAAGTCGGCGGGAGGAAACAATTGGCCAAAGATCGACTGGAGGAGCAGCGTCTACAGGAAAAGTATGACAATTAGAGACTCTTAGGCTCCGTTCACTTCACCGATTTGAGTTTAGAATTTAAGTTTTGTTACAGTAAAAAGTTCTAAGAAACAGTCACATCTAATTTTTTTACTACAGTAAAAATTTCTCACATAAAATCACATCTCAACTCGAATTACAAACTCGAATCAGCGAAATGAACGGGTCTATTGTGAATTAATTAGGAAAGAGGTACATTTGAAGACCATGGAGACCAAATCAAGTAAATCGCGAAACAAAAGCAAAAATTGGATCAAATTATAAGAAAACAAGCAGTCAGAAGTGTCAATTGGAGCCAAAAAGAAAAACTTTTCTTATTCCCCCAGTCAACAGTAGATAATCTCAAAGAAAGACAATGTAGGAGGTTTAAATCATGACACAAATTGGACATCTGACATTACGTCGAATGACTCTCTAGATTCTCTATCTTAATACCCTTGTACTCTCTTTTCCTTTCTTTTTCATCACTGTAATTGTATACAGTGGACGTGTACTTCTAAATCATTATAAATTTGTGTTTTTTTTTTTTTTTTTCTCTCGCACTTTATCTTCTACACTAATAATATTTAGTGACTTGTACGTAACTCTTATTTATTTTTTATCAATATCTTTATTGCTTTTCATATTCTAAAAATTAGAGTATTAATCGTAATTGAACTCAACCCGTCAATGATCACTGGGGCGTCTGACAAATCAACGGGACATGCTTGGCATCAAACCAATGGAGCCCAATTGTACTTAATTATGCATATAATTGTTCCAAAGAAACGAAAAAAAAACAAATGCGTTTTTCGGCAAAAAATGGGTTGTCAATGTGCTGGTTTAGCTTTTTAGATGCTTTTGTAAGCAAGGCAGGAATTGACCATTGATATGGAGCTTCTAAACTGAGGGCGCGTATCAATTTCAACTTCATCACCGTCACATGCAACGCCAGCTTTGCTTTTGTTTGGTGTAGATAGATAATGATAATGCGATACTTTGAACTTTTTTTTTCTTATGTCAATGGGGCATCATCAATCATGACACTTTGAACCTTACCAACCAGCCCACTAGTTTGCTTCTGCAACCCCCCCCCTTTTTTTTTTTTTTTTTTTTTTTTTTTTTTTTTTTTTTATTTGGGTAATTTCTTTATTCATTTTTTTAGATATATTTTTCTTGTTAAAATTTAAATTAGATTGTCATTGCGATTAAGATTTTTAATGTTTCGTTAACTTCTAAACTCTTTCTTTACATAATGGAGACTGTGATCAATTGTTTGTTGTATCAAAATTTAAGGACCATAATCCGTTTGTTCATATATGATCCAAACTTAGTGAAACAAACGGACTAATAATTTATGCATGAACACTAAGGGCCTGTTTAGAATCATTTCCATTTCCGTTTTGCACGTTTTAAAAGAACTAAAAAATGAAAATGCACTTAGAAATGTGTTTGGCATGCATTTTCTGAAAAATAAAAATTGAAAACGTTTTTTCCTTTTTTGTTTTCCCTTAGCAAAATTGAAAACGATTGAGGATCGTTTTCTGTTTTCCGTTTTAGTTTTGCCCGACTCCCCCATCCCCCCCCACTCTTCTCTGACGATCAGCCGAAGCCCCCTTCCCTCTTCTCCGACTGTCCCCCAACTCTTCTCCGACTGCCCCCCCACTCTTCTCCGACGATCAGCCTCTTCGGCTCCGGATCAAAAAATTCCAGGCGCCCAGAGATTCTTCTGCTCCCCCCCGTGGGTCCTGAATCAAAAAGACAAACCTTTCGATGGGATTTTGAAAAAAGTCATCCTCTTTCGCAGGTCTTACCGTGGAAATATTGCCCTGCAAAATTTTTAAGGAATGAATTGCAAATTTCTTTGATGTGTGGAAGGACGGAATGTGGTATTAGAACAAGGAATGGTAGTGATAGAAAGGGAGCTTCTAAACCGAATATCTTGGTTCAACCGCACCCATTTCATGCACCCAGAAAATTACGAGAATGGAAATGTTTATTTAATATATTTATTTAATATATTATTATTTTAAATATTATTAGGTGTTTTTAAAATTAAACCACCAAACACAATTTTAATTTTTTTTAAACTGAAATCAATCTTGGAATAAAACTGTCAAACGTATCTTTAAAAATGATTTCAAAATAAAAATGAAAACGTTTTCATTTTTATTTTTATACAAAAAAATAAAATCATTTTAAAACTAATTCTAAACGCACCTTAAAATTTTTTTGGTCGATGAGATGGCTTTATTAGGATACAAAGGAAAAAAAAAAATCATTAGATTTTTCAAGGGTGGGTTGTGAGTTGTGACTAATAGCACGATGATGCTTTCAGGTGTGACTTCTCTTTTTCCTTTTTTTTTTCTTTTCTTTTCTGATTGTCTTTAGAAGCTGGTGAAGATCCAACATAATTGAAATATTTAAATGGAAAACGTTATATGGTGTTTGTAAGGAACAAATGGACCATATAAATTATGGCGGACAAACGAAGACGTCTCTATCTTTGGGACGCTTTCATTCAATAATTAAAAAAGTCTCAGCACATCACTTAAAAGATTAACTCGTGCCCTTCACATTGCTGTACTTGCCACTAATTGTTATGCTTAAAACTCCTTTATTTTATTGGATGTTGTGAGTACCAACTGCTTGTTTGTTTGTTGTTTCTAGCGGGAAAAAAAAAAAAAAAAAAAAAAAAAACTGCTTGTTTGTTTCTTTCTTCTTTGCATGAGCCGCCGATTTGACAGGACTTCTTGCAATTGCTCTTGTTTTCCTGGATTAAAACATCTAAAAACTACTTTTAAAAGTGTTTGAATAATCTATCAAAATAATTTTTAAGTTTTCTTAAGAGAGTTTTTAATCAATGTCACAAAATATGACTTTTCAAAGAAACTGTTATGAATGAACGTCTTGACACTTACACCAAGACTTTAGTAGACATAAGTCTAATTCTAACATTATTATTGCTTCTTAGAGAATTTAAAAATCATTCTGACCCATTAAATTATTTTGAAAATTTAGTTTCAAACACTTATTAAAACACCATAATTTTTTACTTATCTTCTTGTAGAAAAAAGTAAAATTTGTACTTCCAGGAAAGCATAAAAAAAACTCTAGTTTTTTTTGTTTTTTTGTTTTTGTTTTTTTTTGTAGGTTGTCGTTGTTCATGATCTTTCCTGCCATCTTTCGCTTGGCCAAAATGCATAATTGGCGGGTGTAAAGGCCACATTACACATTTAGGAACAAGTGTTTCATTAGTGCAGCTTGGATTCTTGTACTAATCTACCACAGTATACTTGTAATCAACATCTATCTTTCTCTAATGTCTTCCCACATATCAGAACTTTCCTAGGCTCGTACTAATTTAACAGTATCTACCTCCCTTCACAATATTCAAATATTCTCTATTTTATATTGGCAAAAATTTTATAACTGCCAAGAAATAAATCAATTTTAACTTCTACTTCAGAATTTTTTTAAAGGCTTTTTGATTGGTGTAAGAAAGCACATGAAAGTTCCCTTCAAAAAAAAAAAAAAAAAAAAAAAGAGAGAATGCACATGAAAGTCTTTACCAAAAGAAATGCACATGAAGTAAATAATACGAAATACTTGGGGATGTTTGTTGTTCCAAATCATGATTCGTGATTTTTTATAGTGTTTTTTTCTCACAAAAAAAATAAATTTTAAAAATTTGAATCATAAACTATGATTGATTCTAAATTCATGAACCAAACGTAGAATGCACATGAAAGTCTTTACCAAAAGAAATGCACATGAAGTAAATAGTACGAAATACTTGGGGATGTTTGTTGTTCCAAATCATGATTCGTGATTTTTTATAGTATTTTTTTCTCACAAAAAAAATAAATTTTAAAAATTTGAATCATAAACTATGATTCTAAATTCATGAACCAAACATTATCGTACTAGTTGAATAAAATAAATAGCCATGAAGAGTTGGCTCTTTCTAGATCTCTCTTATTGGGCCTGTTAATATATTGGTTTAGTTTATGGATTGCCAGAAGAATCACATTGTCAAACCATGGTGTGAATTATGATCTAGGAACCACTTTTTTCAACCTTTAAACTTTTATGTGTAAATTACACAAATTAAAAAAAAAAATGATATTTTTGAATCCCAATTCTCTTAAAAGTGGCATCCTATAATTCACCTATCATGGGCAAGGGACTTCTATACCTCGTGCCCTTTTGAGTTTCAAATCAAGGAATTACAGTAAATTTATATTTATCATCTGTAACAAAGTCGCAACTTTTTTCGTACATCTCTCAAAAAGAGGTCACGAAAATGTCGAAAATTGTAAACCTGCTTAAACTATTTTCCTCTCTGATTATAGAAATCCTACAAGAACAAAATGGTAAAAAGGAAATAGCAAGGACATGAATGATCTAAATAAACAAAGGCAAAATTCAATATAGGGGACTGGTGCTTGATATCTCATTCAAGTGCGTTTGTTGGCTGATCAATATTTCCAGTATCATTCTTGTAGTAGTTGTCACCAATTAAGTGGTGAAGAAGCACACCAGCTGCAACACTAACATTCAAGCTTTCGACAGCCAAAAATGACCGAAACTCGCCAGCCAAGCATCCAGCATTCTGCTCTGCAGTTTCAGAATGCTCTTCTCCACCAGGAATGATATCAACGGGAACATTCGAAGGAATTTTGACTAACTGAGTACAAGATCTTTCCACTAGAGGTCTCAACCCCATACCCTCACTGCCCAAGACAAGGATTGTTGGGGCACCGGGTACAGCCTCATTCAAGGGAATAGCTTTGGAAGACACTGAACCGCCGAGGACTCGCCAGCCATTCTCAGCTGAGGATACCAAGAACTGCATCATATTTTTGCAATATCTGAGCTCCATTAACTCGAGTGAGCCTGCGCTTGCTTTGCTCACGACACCACTCAGAGGAGCCGAATTCTTTGCGCACAAGACAACTCCTGAAGCTCCAAAGAAGTAAGCAGACCTTATGATTGCCCCCAAATTTTGAGGATCTGTAACCTCATCCAATGCCACCCAAAGGGAATTCTTGTCTTCTTCGACCGAAACGGGATCAAGTTCCTTTATCTTTACCATCTCCAATGGAGAAGCATCAAGCACCAAACCCTGATGAGGCCTGTTATCAACCACCATGTTCAGATCATGCTTAGACACTTCATTTATGCTTAATCCAAGTTTTTCAGCCATTTTCAAAACTTTTTCAAACCCCTTCTTGTCCTTCTTCTTTCTATTATTACTACTCAAATCCAACCCTTCTTGCACATATAGTGCATAGAACTCTCTTCGTCCAGCCGACAAAGCGGCCAAAACCGGACCAACACCATAGACGCCTTCACCAACCACCTTCGGCACAGACGACTCGGTAGCCTCTTTCCATGTCCTTCTACCCCAATTCTCCTGTTTATTCCACCTCCGAAAGTCGGGTTTCTCGTACCTATCTCTTGCATCCACCACTCCCCTGAACCTGCTCTTAATCTTATCCCATCTCGGATCACTAACAACCTCAGATTCTTCATCTTCCTCCTCTACATTTTCCTCAACCCTTTCCTCCCCGGAAATGTAATTGCCGCGAGGATCTTCAACCCTATCTATAATTCTGTTCCTCCTCTCTTCACTCCCCACAAGAGATGCACCACTTCTCTTTGCAAACTCATCCCAAGAAGACTTACCACTCTCTCTATCCAACCTCTTTGCCGATTCCTCCCAAGAACACTTATTACTACCGACTTTCTCTGCCCTCTTACCAGATATTTGTCTCTCTCCCCCCACCTTATTACCATCCCTCGATGCTAACCAAGGAAGTTTCTTTCCACTAATCTTCTGAGCCGATGAATTTGAAAAAACTCTCGCTTTTACCAAAAGGGAATGCCTTTTAGCAGTTTTGAGCCAAAACCCACTTGAGAAATCTTTGGGTTTTTCTACACTGTTAGCTCCTAGAACCCCGTGATGCGAACATGACGAAAAATTCATTTTTTGAACAGACCCAATTGGTAAAGACTGTGACTTTGATGAAAAAATCAGTTTAAAGCATCTGGGTTGTGAAGAAACCCTCATTATGGCCAAGGGAAATGCTGGTGTTTTTGCTAAATTAGGATACATATTATATGGCTATATTCTCATAAACGAGCCTAAAATCTTAAAGGGTTTCAGAGAAAGAAGGAAAAACCTGTATCAGAAGCAAATAGAGCTCTTTCAACAACATTTGATGCCTTATCCACACCACCATTGAATCCCAGAGTCGGTTCCTTTTTGCAGTAATAGTATTAAAGCGTCCTTCTGAGGAAGCTAATCTTCAACGGTATGAGATTGATGAAGAACGGCTGAAAGGAACAGTACGTCGTCGTTTGGGGTGGAGAAGCTTAGACGCCGCCACAGAGGAAAGTGGAAACCTCCGAGCAATTTGCCATTCCCGCTTGAAACACTGGGATGGATTTATCAAAATGACTATTATTACCCTTCATTTTTTTTTCGGGAATCAACCTTAATGGTTTTTTTATTTTTTTATTTTTATTTTTTGCTACCTTATTTTTTATTTTTATTATGTTAGATATTAGATATTTATTTTTCATTTTCAGGAGGATATCACAAAAACCTCTATTCCTACAATTTTCATCAACAACAAAAAAAAGACAAAAACCTCTATTGACAAAATTTATTATGTTACATTCCAGCAAAAAATTATTTATTATGTTACATATTTATTTTTTGCGCATGATACTAGAAAACTTCTATAGATATAACAAAATTTTGGGATAGGAGTTTTTATTTATGATTGGTTGATATTTAAAAAAAAAAGGTTGATAAATACATATACTATTAATGAATTATGTTTTGTCATCCTTCCAATTACTGCATATTTATTCTTTTTTTAAAGAAAAAATTCTACTAGAATGCCTTTCATATTTTTAAAATGACACTATAATCTATTTATATAGAAAGACCAATTTTTTTTAATGTATAAAGAGGAATTAGGAAATTAGTTGTGAAAAACTGTTGTGTGTGTTTAGAATCAATTTTAAAACCGTTTTTATGACAATCGAGGCCTTAAAAATGAAATTGGTCATCAAACCACGTTTGGTGCATTGATGAATTAAAAACGGAAAGGAAAATGCTCTTCCCCGTTTCTCTTCTTTGTGTTGCTTTTTGAAAACGGTAAAAGACCGTTTTTCCTTTTTCATTTTCATCTCTCTTTTCTCTAACATTAATTTACATAACCATATCAAGATCAAAACCAAACAGATCAAGATCAAGATCAATCGAAAATTTAATCAACAGATCAAGATCAACAAAACCAAACAAATGAAAATGGTAAAAGACTTCAAGAAAACCAAATCTCTCTCTCGACGCTACTGAATCTGAAATTCTGACTGATTTAGTGCAATTCCAACGTGATTAGGGCTTAGGCCCACCGGGATATGGACATGGCGAAGATGGGCTCGTTGGGATATGGGCATGGCGAAGCTTGGCTAGTTGGGTTTAGGCATTGTGGAGTTGGCTTGCCGGATCTGGTGACTACAAAGTTGGCTCGCTGGATTTGGGTTGAGGAGGAAGAGGGGGCTGTACTTATGGGAGAGGGAAAAGGGGTCAACAAAGAGAGAGATTTTGTCGAGATAGAGAGAGAAGATGAGATATGTTAACTCGTGTTAAAGACTTTTTGTGATACTTATTGTACCTTCAATTAAAAATTTTATTTAATTATTTGCAGTTGACATGCTTATGAAATATTTGATTGTTTTGTTACTACTAATTATAACCAATTAGTATACTAGTTCCCATAAAAAAAATTAATATACTAGTAATATATTAATCATGTACTAATATATTATTACATGTTTTTAAAAATTTAAAATCAAACGCAGTTTTAATTTTTTCTTATATTGAAAATAATTTTTGAATAAAACTATAAAACACATTTTTAAAAATGATTCATGTTTGAGATTGAAAACTTTTTCATTTTTATTTTCATACACAAAATAAAATCATTTTAAAACAGATTTCAAACGCATTCGTTATTTTGTTAATTATTGTCACACGACTCACATCAAAAGCATATCGCTTTTATTTTTTTAACAACTATATATCTAGAATCAAACAACGTAGAAATAATATTAAAATCTGATGAACATTACTTATTAGCTTAAAGAAATATGATTTTTTTTTTTTTGCTTGAAGAAATATGATTTTTTTTAGTAATAAAGAAAAATGTACATAAATGAGATATTTCTTGCACAGGCGATAAGGGTTTCATTGGGAATTTACCACTAATCCACCTGTCCATTCAATATTAAAGAAAATAAAAAAAATTGACAAACAATATAGAAAAGGTCATCGCAGCGCATCAAAAACCTAGAATCCCATCCTCCATCACCCCTCTTTCCCAAATTGCACCGTCAAACACAAAACCCCCAGAAAACCCTAACCACTCTCTAATTTCTTCATCTTCTCCTCCTCCAAGCAAACAACTTAACAGAAAATCGCCATGGGAACTCCAGAGACCTCTCGGGAACCGTGCCCCGACCGGATCCTCGATGACATCGGCGGCGCCTTCGGCATGGGCGCGGTCGGCGGCTCCGCCTTTCACTTCCTCAAGGGCATCTACAACTCCCCCAGGGGCTCGCGTCTCGTCGGCGGATCCCAAGCCGTTCGCATGAACGCGCCGCGCGTCGGCGGGAGCTTTGCCGTCTGGGGAGGCCTCTTCTCCGCCTTCGACTGCACCATGGTCTACGTCCGCCAAAAGGAGGATCCTTGGAACTCGATCATCGCCGGCGCCGCCACCGGCGGCTTCCTCCAGATGCGCCAGGGGCCCGCGGCCTCGGGCCGCTCCGCTCTCTTCGGTGGCGTCCTATTGGCCCTGATCGAAGGGGCCGGGATCATGCTCAACAAGGTTCTCAGCCAGCAACAGCAGATGCCGATTATGATCGAAGAGCCGCCGCCGAATGTTGCCTCGATTCCCGGTTTCCCTCCTATGGGGCAGATACCGGGGCGGTTGCCTGGTCAGCAGGTTCCGGAGGTTGCGGTGGGTTCGGCGAGCAGTTCGGATTCGGCCGATTCCGGTTCGTTTGTCGGAGGGTGGTTCGGTGGAGGGAAGAAGAAGGAGCCTCAGGCGTCGAGTAGTGGAAGCGAGACGAAGATTCTGGAGAGTTTCGATGCGCCGCCGGTGCCGAGTTTCGAGTACAAGTGATTTTCTTAAGAGGGTTTTTGGGTCAAAAAAGGGATTTTCTTTGGAGGTATGCTTGTGAAAGAGAGGGGTTTGATGAGGATCGCAAATGCAAAAATAATTATACAAGCACACAATCTAGATTGTGTTTTTACTTCGATATTGAAGCTTCTATGTATGCCACAATTTTTAGTTTTGAGATATAGTTATTTATAAAATTTTGTCTTCAACATAATGCTTATTCATTGTTATTTTATTATGTCCATGACTGGGAAATAGCTTTGTTAACTATTAGGTATTGATGAATTCAATATAATCTCTTGGAGTTTCTCTGGCATTAAGTTATGCTTTTGAAGTTTGTAATCTTGGGTTGAATTGAATCTATGATGTAATTTGCATATATTGAATATGAATTGTTTGCAGGGCACGTTGGCTTGATTATTCTTCCGTGTCGTTTTCGTATTGTAAGCTGTAGAGACTAGTGAATAGTGGCTGGTGGAGCAGCAGTTAAGATCATTTTAGTGTGTATTTATTGGGGTTTATTGATGATAATTTCTTGCTTAATGATCTCACTCTATAAATGTGAGTTGGAAAAGAAAAGTAGTTTTCTTTTAATTTTATCTGCTGGGTGACTTTTTGTTTATCATTTGCACTTCTCTCTTGGATACTTTTGAAATTTGTTGATGCTTTCTTTTAGTTGGAAAATATATATTGACAAGCCTTGGAGGCATGGACCAATCATTGTGTAAAAGTGCCTAGGATTAATTTTTGAATCATTTGAAAACCGTTTAACTTATGCCCCTTTTCACTTTGTGCAGATTTTAGGCTGTTAATTTTTGTACAATTAGGAAGGGGTTTATCTTTGGATTTGTGGTGTAGAATAGGCCATTTCTATGCAGACAAAGATACGAATGTAAGTTTATCGCATTAGCATTATTGCTATTTCCTTGTAATAGCAGAATTAATGCGAGCCATGAATCCCAATGTTAAGAGCATCACTTGTATGCTGCAGAGTCATTTTTGCATTGCTATTCTCCAAGTTTTGGTTACCTCCAAGTTTTGGTAGAGTGTTTTCTATCAATACTTGTCATGTGGTTATTATAGTTGTTGTAACCTTGGATAGGCTTAACGGAGGGTCTTCATGTCACACTTTTTCATAGTCCGACATGCATGTGAGAGTTTAGAAAGGGACTGGCTTACGTTGGTAGGTCATGTCTTTTGCTTAGCTATGGTCACACAGTAGAGAATCTTGGATATTGAACTTCCCTCGCTTCCTAGCATATGCCAATTTGAACCCAAGTTAACGCCATATTCGTTGGCAGCAAACTTTGTTGTGTGCTTATCACATTTGTATTCCGTAGCCAACAGAAATTGAATTGAATTGAGGTAATGATAACTTATGCAGGGAGGAAAACATGCTTCACTCTTATAGCAACGGCTTCTCTATTCTGACTTTCCGAGTTGATTAAAGTCTTAAACAAAGCCTAAAAAAGTCCTTATCTCGGAGATTATGCGTGCGGGGCCGGCTGAGATAATCCATGAGATGTTATCAGGCTCTTTCTTGAATCGAACTGTTTTACTGCAGTTTGCTGTTATTACAGTTCACAAATTGCATAAACATCTTTATATGGAACCGTTTAGTTGACAGTAACATCTTTTTCTCTTTGAGGAATGCGATCTTGCAACTTGGTAACGTTGGTGCTTTTTGTTTTTTTGTTTGCATTCTTTCTTTTCGAGGTTATGCATGTTTATGCTGATTGAATTCAAGGATATATTGATTGGATGGTCTTCGCCAATGTGTTCCCTGACCCAGATTTGTGGTTTTGCATTTGCATTATCTTGTATATTTGTGCACAAACTCATTTATATATAATGTGCGTTATAGTGTAACATGATCAACATGCCAATTGATATGCCAAAATCTGTTGGTAAACTTCAAATTGACGTGCATTTATGTAAGTTTACTATGCTTTGAGCAATAATGGATTGTCGATGGTGGACACTGGATAGTAAGACAAGATGAAAGGTCCAACTTAATTATTCATAATGCAACAGGCTCAAATGATTTTGATAATTTCAATTAAGTTTGAAATTCAAATTTTTTACAAGAGAAAAATATTATAATAGAATTAAGAATTATGGTTTGAATTATGCACAGAAATTATGGTTTGAATTATGCACAGAAATTATGGTTTGAATTATGCACAGAACTTTTAAAATAAACGCACTATTGCCGCTGCATGCTTGATTTATATTTCTCACATAGCCACGCCACAGTGGCTGGTAAGAAATCACTTGAGAAAATCAAAACAAAAAACTAGAGAAACAAATATTGAATCTTCTTATCTCAAAAGTATTGCGACAGATAAGTGAACAACTGCAAGAAAACTAATTAATGGCCTAAAGGCTGAGAAGCAGATAATTAAAAAAGAAGTGTACAGGTGTCAGCTGCACAATGGGATTTTGGTGTCCAAAAAGGCCCTTAAAGTCGAACCAAAATTACCAAGTTTGGCCAATAATCGGATAACCCGAGGAATATATTATATAATAGTTATATCTTATAATATATAATATAATATAATGTACAATAAAAATATTATAATATAATATAGTTATAATAATATAATAATTAATTTATAATATAGTTATAAATTATAATATATTTATTTAATATTCTATAATAATATATAATATATTATAACGTAAATATATCTTATAATATAATATATAATAATATTACAATATAATATATATAATATGATATAATATAATATAGTTGTAATATTTTAACAAATAATACCATAATTATACTAATAATTTTAATATTATTATTTTATTGTATAATATAATTATTTTTATTATATTAATAATATAATAATAATTAATATAATTAAATATTAATATAATCTTATAATTCTAATATTATTATCTATTATAGTTCATTACACATGATTATTAATTATAATATATTTATTGTATATAATATAATAATTATATATTATATTGTAATTATATATATTATATTATATTATATTATAGTATAATATAATATAGTTGTAATTTTTAATTATATTATAATTGAATTATTATTGTTTATTATATAATCTTATAATATATTTTATAATATTATAATTATATTAATAATTTTAATAATATTATTATATTATATATCATAATTATATAATATATTATATAATAATAAGTTTATTATATTATATTACATTTTATATATCATATTGATAGATAAAATATTAGTGTTATATATAGCATAAGGGTAAGTATGTCAAGTTCCATTCCAGAGAATTCTTAAAATTACAACCAAATAAATGAATCAACTTTCTTTTCCATTTCATTCACATTACCATTTTTATTCCCATTCCCATTACCATTCTCCCATTGTAACTAAACGCACTCTAAATAAAATTTTAGTATTCTTTAATCTTTCTGAGACGCTAAAGGAACGAGGAATATAATTCTCACAACATTCAGAATCTAATGCTAATTTTGCTGCAACTTTCATCTCTTAGTGACGGCGGTCTTTTTCTTTTCTTTTTTTTTCTTTTTAATGAACAGTTTTTTGTTCATAGTTACTGATATTTTTATTTGTATTATTATTTGAAAACAAAAGAGAATAATGCTAATATTATCTTTCTCAGATTAAAGCATGTCACTTTAAAATACTGAACAAGCCCAAAAGACATAGATCAGTTAGTGATCTTCCAAATCCAAGAGGTGAATTTGAGGAACATCACTTTTTAAGGATTGACATTTTGAAATGTATTACTTTTCTGGACACTTTAAGCCTATTTTACACATAGAAGAAGATATTGCTGAATATGATGTTCACTCATATGTACATAAGCTTGGTCCATAGAGACTTGGGTTACCCGCTTACCACTAATCAGGGTTGAAAGAAGGAAACTTGTAGTAAATAGTAGATTTATGAAACTAAATTAAGTAGATAGCAGATTCATTTACGACTGTTTCACACGGCCTCCCCCAAAATATGTTTATCCTTTAGGAGATTGTGTAGATATAGATATAGAAACAATCCAATTTCCACTAAAAAAGTATAAATTAACAAAAAGAGTATACGGCAACAAGATGTAGAGCGAGGAGTCTGAAACGACAATGAAGTATAAAACAACAAGAAAGTGTAAACGACATAAACAAATATATTATTATTAATATAATACACTATAATATATAATAATATTATAATTATAAGATTATGTTAATATTTAATTATATTAATTATTATGTTATTATTAATATAATAAATATAATTATATCAATACAATATGATATATAATATATTATAAAATAATAATTACAATATTATATTATAATTATAATATCATATTATTAAAATAATTATAATATTATAATAACATCATATTATTGAATAAAATAATAATATTAGAGTTATTAATATATTTATGATATTATTTGTTACAATATTACTATTATATTACTATTATATTATATTATGAGTCTGAATTTTAGATTTGGAAGATTGTAAATTTTAAATTTCATTAGGTGTATTATGAGTATTATGAAAGTTTTATTAATTGTACTATGCTGATTCTTGCACAATCTAAAAGCTAAAGTTGTCTTTAAGCTGGTTCTGATTTTGGCTGTAAATTCTTAAAAAGTTCTTCAAAAAACACTTTTAAAGAGATTTACCAACACTAAAATCAGCTTTTGCTACAAGTAGAAACTGATGTTGAGATGGAAAAACAATACCAAACTAAGCAATTGTATTACGTCCTTATAGATTAGGGTAATTCTTTAGCATGTAAAAGTGACAAATCAGGGACTATAATTGAACTAGTTGCAATTCAAAGTTCATTAGTGAAATTAACTCGAATTAAAAGTTAAAACAACAACGCAGAAAAGTTTAAATGAATAAGAAGATATTACTCGCTTCGATTTTCTGATTAAGAGAAAGAGAGGGAAGAAAAAAAAAAAAACTAAAGGCCGTGTTTGGAATTGATCCCTTTTTTATTTTTCATGTTTTTTGAGGAAAAAAAAAATGAAAACGTTTTCAAAACCGCATTTGACGCAATAAAAATAAAAAACAGAAATGAAAACAATTTTTTAGTTTAACGTAAAATGAGAGAGAAATGAAAAATAACTTTTAATCGTTTTTTATTTTTTGTTTTCATTTTCTCCTCTCTCGAGCAAAGAGACATTAATGAATTTTTTTACACAAACAATCTCTTGATAAAACTACCAAACGCATTTTTAAAAATAATTTCTGTCTGAAATTAAAAATATTTTTATTTTTATTTTCATATAAAAAATAATATCATTTTAAAACGAATTCTATTGAAATGATTTAACTAAGAATAATCTAGAAGAATGCCCTTCTATTAAGAGAGGATAAAATTTTTTGTCATTTCTTAAACACTAAAAAAGATTTTTATCCTTGCTTCTCTCATTGCATACTAACTTAAAGGGGCAGAATTCAAGCAGAATAACACAACTAAAAGGATGAAAAGATGACATATTTCCTAAGTTTCTCCTTAATTTGCCTGAAAAGGTTATGCATGTCAAGTATGTTCTTTTGGGTTGGGCATAATAATAACTAACATATTTGTCTAAAAAGTTATGAGAAAATTCGGTTACCACGAATAATAATTCCGATAACAGCAATACACAAACTGGTTAGAAGCAAAATGACTTTATAAGTCCTAATGTGACGATGCTCCTGGGCCAAGTATTTGAAGATAATGTTTCACATATACAAAAAGACTCGGAACCACAAAAGAAACAAGATGGACACTGGTTAATGGCAACACCCGAAGATGTGAAGAAAGAAAAGGGAGAACAAGCTCAACGGTGGCCACTGTTGACATCATGCCCCATTTCTTCTGCATCCTCAAATCGCTGATCGTTGATCTGAAGCTGCAATATTTACAAAAAGGTGATCAATGATTACTTCAGTCTTCCACCATTTTCAGATTAAATCGCCTGGCTCTCCTTGAAAAGTAACCGGCTCGTAGTTTACAGCTTAAAAATAAAACTTTCGATTGCAATTCTAAGCCATATACATTCGTTAGATTATCACTACCATTTAAGTCCTGTAAGATTAGTGCATCTCACGTCTAAATTCGTAGTAACTACAGCATAAGTTACAGAAGACCTAAGATACCAATGTGACGCATTTTCCATTAGTATAGAACACATCCAAAAGAAAATTAAGCAGCAGCTTAAAATGCAATTTCACGGGCGTACCTCTAGCACTGTACGTGCTAAGTCATGATCCCCATTAGATTGACCAATTGTGCTTGTTGGATTTTGAGACATAATCCAATCAGGATCTTCCCCTTCTAGAAATACCAAATTCAAACAAAATTATCATTCACCATAAGTACATGCCAGAAGCCATAAGTGTTAGCTGCTTTAATCATACCTGCAACTTCATCTCCAATCCGATCAGCACTAAAAATCCAATTATGCGCTTCTTCTTCTCCTAAAGAAGGCATAAACGAGTAGCATATTAGTGAAAGAATTAGAAGCAAAAGCTACTAAATTCAACTTCAAAGAAAAATATTCTACAAAACTTTCCTTTAAAAAAAAAAAAAATTGTTCTAACCTTCAATGGGTTCTGGATTAAGCTCTGCACACTCGCAGAATATCTCAAACAAGCGGTCCACTGTAGAAGAGAAAAGGATAATACATTTTATGCATCCCCATTAAGAAGAGAAGGTACTAGAAAACCAGAAATGATAGAATGGTAATATCACAACCTTTGAAGCATAAGATCAGATAAACGGATAAGAAACCAATATACCATCAAGACAGCAACCAAATTTTATAATAAGAGAAATAACTCAAATTCAAATAAGAAATGTTTATGGACGGGAGACTTAAGATATAAATAATGAATTATGAGTCAGAAAATTCTAAGTCTCATCTTGAGTAATTAGTGCGTGTATTCTCCTTAAAGTTAGTGAATTTATTCTCCTTCTTACAGTAGACATAGCTCTCAAATTGAAAGTGAATCACTATAATTCTCGTGTATTCTTATTGTTTAATTGCTTTTTAACTGTGTTTTAGATCATTAATCTGTTGACGAATTTTCACCGTCAACCTCAACCGCAAGTACTATTAATCTGTGAGTGAGAATGCTGAGCCTTGACACTCATTTTTAAATGTTTCGTGTAGATAGGAAACTTTTCTCGTGTACGTGTAGGCAAAGTTTTATCAATTTATTTTATTTTGTTGTTTAGATGATTAAGTGGATCTTCACGCGTTACTTTGAGTGTTCTCTAACGTTCTTGGAGAGTTTAAAATAAAAACAACATATATGGACAGAAATAAGCTGAGAATCGACAATAAAGTGAAAAACGACGACAAGAACAAAAACAACATATATATAGTTAGAAGAACGACAATAATCTGGAAAGCACCAACAACTTGAAACAAACCCAGACCTTCAAAACACACGTAAAAACTGAAAACAATAGAGCACCGCAATATTATCGAGAACGATCACAGCTTTAAAACAACAAAACAAGGAGGAAAAAAAGAACAAAACTGAAACGACAACAAAACAAGTAAAGTATTGATTAATTTGCCACAGCGACTTTAAAAACAAAAGAAACAGAACGACTGAGACAACAAACAAACATCGACATATATTCAAATTGCCGAAAAATAAATAGTCGTTAAAGAGATTGCAAAAGGAGCAAATAATAGCCTGACAAATCAACAAACAAACAAACAAAATGACAAGAAAAACGACATAATAAACATTTAAAGAGGGCACCTACCTTTAAGATGTACCTTAATTAAATAATGATAAAAAAAACAACCCTCAGAATTTGACCCACAAAGTTAAAACGACATTCATATAAGTAAACGACAACATAAGGGAAACGATGGGAAATAAAGAAAAACGACATAAATATTTTGAAGCATAAGAACCTTCAAAAAAAGATTTTTAATTAATATAATAACTATAAAAAGACGAGATCAAATATTAAAACCGACCAAAACACGACTGTTTTCACAAATGTGAAGTACATAGTTAATGGCCAAGGAAATGAGTAATTACATCCGTATATACGGAGCACTATCGACTTTTTAATAAATTATATTAAAAAAATATTTTTTTTAGAATAAGAAAATTAGATAGCGGCCAAGGATAATAATAATTACATCCATAAAATGTCTAGATTGCTATTCATAAGGAGCAAAACCATATATATATATATATAAGTTTTCGTTCATTTACTGATTTAAGTTTTCAGTTTTAAGTTTTTACAGTTAAAAACTCTTATAAAATGTCACATCAAACTTTTTCTGCTATAGTTAAAAACTCTTAAAAAATATCATATCTCAACTCAAATTAAAAACTCGAATCCGCGAAGCGAATGAGGCCATAATCACCTCCAACTATTGATCAAAATAACTCAACCTCATAGGCATAAGAAATATCAAGTAGAGCACGAAAGCAACATTTGATAAAGCTTCTATCAATTGTAGAGGATATCATTTCAACAGACTCAACTAAAGTAATATGTATAAGAAAGATGTTTAGGGATGCCACTAGTATTAAACACTATCACTAATAAAAAGTATATTACACTTGTAAATCTCATATTACGAAATCTACATTCTATTAGCGAATAGTGCATAACACTAATAGTGCCTTATAATAATACTCTAAATATAATAGTCGAAGAGACTAAAATATATTTATTCTAAAAAATAATTTGATTTTGGGTGTACTAGATAGTCCAACAACAAGAAGAAAGCGTTGCATTCCAAAGAGCAAAAACTTAGGGCGTGTTTGTTTTTGTTTTTGAAAACGTTTTTCATGTTTTTTGAGAAGAAAAAACAGAAACGTTGTGAAGATTACGTTTGGTGACCCATTTTCCCAAAAACAAAACTAAGAACACCTATTTTCATTTCCTCTTTTATCTCAGGTTTCTGAAAACGATAAATTTTCATTTTTTCCACCGGATTTCCTTCGACTCCTCTCTGAAATCGTCGATCTCCCTCTCATCTTCTCTCCACATTCACTATTCTGAGCTCATCTATTCTCACGTTGAAGTCGCCTGATCTAATCTCCTCATCTTCTCTCCTTGCCTGATCTGATCATGAATTTGTTGAAAGTTTTTTCTTGATCGGTGAATTTCCGGCACTCCTCCCCCAAATCAACCGACATATGGCCCTCCTCCAGGTGTTTAGTTGGTTATTTTTTCTAATTTTTGGATAATTTGTTTATAATTTCTCCCAACCAGTAGATCTGATTTGGTCTGTGATTATGAAGGAAATTTTTGATTATTTTTTCTGTTATTGATTTTCCCAATACTCGGTCTGTAATTATGAAGGAAATTTGTTATTGATCTGCAGTCCTATTGCTTGATTTTGTAATGATGGGTTTATATGGTTTCATTAATCCTACAGGTTATTTGTTTACTTCTTTTAAAATTGTTGATTTTAGTAGGCTTAATAGGTGATGCTTGAAGAATCATCATGAAGCATTAAAATCTATGTTTAAATCCTGTAATTAGTTGAAATGAGTTTGATCTGCTTACAAAGAATAACAAGAACGAGGCCTCAGTGCTTATGTTTTTTTTTTCTCGTAGAACATGGTTAAATGTGAACAGCTTGTCTTTTGGCCTAAATTAGTTTTGGTATAATCCGCATAGGCAATGTAGTGTAGTGGAGTGTTGGGATATTATTGGAGGCAAGAGTTTTTATATTTTGATTAGGCTTTGTTGGTTATGGAATTTGTACTGAGATTAAGACTGTGAGATGCACATAACACGTTATTACTTTGTTGTTGCTCTAAGTAAGAGTACCTTAGGAATGAATTCAACATCTAATTAGCTTGACGCGTTTAGCTAAAACTATTTATTAAGTAAGCAACCACATCTCCTTTCACCAAAAACTCAAGAACATCACTGTTGAACCCACCATCTACCTCAGCTTGCAAATATTGGCCTGCAGGGACATTAAAATATGTTTAGGATTTTATCATGTTCTTGATTGTTTGATTTCATATTGCTCGTCAGAACCGAAGATTAATGATTTAGTAAGTGTTTTGAGCGAGAGAAGTGCTTTATGAATATGATTTGTGCACTTAAACTAAGCACATCTATAAAGGCTTCTTTCCATTAGGCATAGTCCGAGTCTAATCCGCAGGCACACTCTAACTAAAGAAAAATGAATAGGCTAGGATTATTTACTATGTAAACTTTTTTTTTTTTTAATGTAATCATGCACTAAGTAATCTTATTTGTATTTATTTACCATATATTTGTAATGTACTAAAAAAAAACTCATTTGTAGGAGGCATGCTTGGGTAGGCAATTGATTGGTGATTGTATTAATTATTTAATATATTATTTAAAGTACTATTACATGTTTTTAAAAATATCAAATTAAATGGAGTTTCAGTTTTTTCTTAGACTAAAAACAATCTCTGAATAAAACTACCAAATGCATTTTCAAAAAGAATTCTTGCCTGAGATTGAAAACGTTTCCATTTCTCTTTTCATATAGAAAACGAAATCATTTTAGAACGGGTTTCAATCAGTTTTAAGTATTGAAGAAAGGTACGAGTCCCTTGATAAACGGATGGATAAGGATTTATCATAAATTGAAACATCAAACAACATAAAAATGCACAAAGAGACCTATGAAATGACAACAAAGAGGATGAAAAACTAAGGCTAATCCCCAAGTCGAGAGTGGGGGCAGGGACGGGATAGGAAAAGCACTCTCCACCCCACTTACACCTTAATCTATGTACATAAAATAAGATATACATGTTATTTATTTTTGAAAGGTTTTATTATTTGACTAATCATAATTTGTTCTTTATATATTTTTCGGGCTTTAATTTGTTTTGTGAAAACAATAAATTTGGATTGGATGTATGATGAATTTCAACCTTTTTTTATATAATTTAAAAAAAAAATACTGATATTAATCCTCTCTGTGATAATTAGAATTAGGATGGATATAAGAAAGCCTTTTAATTGAGATTTATAGACTCAGTCCCCGTCTCTCCTTAGCAGGGATGGGGATGGTTTCAGAGAGTAAGAATTAGGATGAAAAAGCATTCCTCAATCCTCTACCGTCCATTGCTATCCCTAATCGCTATGGACATTTTCCAAATCTCTCTATCTAGTATATACCTCTTCACACATCACCTAAACAAGAAAAACAGGTGTTTAGGAAACCTGCTTTTGGTCAGATTATTTTAGTTTATTTTAAAATTTTTTGTCTTAAAAAGTAATTTTCAGTCGCTAACTATTCGTAAAATAACCTAACAAATCTTTAACACAAAATTTAACCATGTTTTTTACATCAATTTTAAGCTTTTAGCCCACACGCTGTTAACATAAGTTGAATAAAAAATTATTTAAGAAACATATCAATCAAACTTTGGAACTTTTTCAACTAGAATTCTCAATGCGCTGTATCCGGTTCTTTGTTCATCATCATTTCTCTTATTTTCCTTGAAAACTTGAGTGGAAAAGTATCTGTAGAGGAAAACGCTGAACCCTAAATAAGACCTTAGACGGGGCCCACATGCCTTAAAGAAGAGCATTAAATGGTCAAAGACAGCTCAGCCTTAAGAGCCACGTCAACAAATAGCTTTCTTAAGTCTCGACCGCTAAAATGATGTACCTACTATTGGTAAGAGGTCGACCGTTCTAAGAAGCCACAAAGAACAAGTATAAGGTCGACCATACC